AAGTTTCCTCTTTTCGAAAAATCGCGCCTCGTGGTTCTCATAATCAGGTTACCACGCTTTCGAGGTAGCCGAATCGCTTCGAGCGTTCTCGAGGGTGAATCGGTTCGTTGCTCGATCGATCCCGATCGAGAGAGACTTGCCGCTCGTTTCTGAACAATCAGAGGCGCCAGTCAGGGAGAACCAGTCGTCGTTTTTTTTTTTTTTTCTCCTCGAGGACCACCGAGGCTCGTCACGCCTTCGAATCTCGATTCTTTGCTAGTCTCTTACCTCACGATTCGCGTAATCTGACGATAGCGACGAACGATTCGAGAAAACCTGTTTCGAATTGGGCGAGTTGGGTCGGGAATTTTCTTTTTTTCAGCATTATAACTAGTCAGAGTATTGAGTTACAACTGATATTGTTTTTTTTTTTTTTTTTTTTAAGATTAAAGAACAATTTGAAGGAAGTTGGTCGTGTGTTACACCATCGGTATCTTATATACTTATCTTCGAAATACATTTGCTTCGAACGACACTGCCAGGCTATTTCGATTGGCAACTCGATAACGTCAATTGCAATCGCATTAAGACAAGACTCCTTCTCAACAGATAAGATTAGTCGGTGCAACTGACAATTTTGTAAATCCCTACTTCGTTCCATCCAACTTGCCCCGATTGGTCGGTGAAGTCTCTCGTTCCTCTACTCTGAGGATCCATCAGAAGTTCTTGTTTCTTCGACCTCCCCTTTGAAAATTTGCCATTTGTGGAGCAAACAGAATTTCCATTTCGTAATCCAAAAGGAAAGAAGAGGAAAGAAAGAAAAAAAAAATGGAAGGAAGCGAGATATTCCATTAATCACCGCTGTCGCAAGCGAAATTCTTCGCCATAAGCCGGGGTCCCTATTGAACCAGTTGAACGAACTTGGTTGCCTAAGGGACAAATGGAACCCCATTAACCGGTTGCGAAACTTAAGCCCACGGTGGCCGGTTCCGATACGTCGATATTCCCGGTCCTAATATTCGAATTCTAATTCTACCGGGAGCCGATTAATGCAAAACCACTGTAACACATCACAACCGTGGCCCCAACAATGCGGAAAATGACACGTTCTCTCTCCCTCTCTCGGTCGACCACTCGCCGTTCGTTCTCTCACCACCACCACCACCCCTTCCCCACCCCTCGAAGGTCCGATCGCCGAGCACAATCAGCCAGAGAAAACCCCGTGTACAAGGGAGAAGGATCAGTGGCCAAAGTCGTCGTCTCAGCCACTTCCTTCCTTCCTTCCTTCCTTCCTTCCTTCCTTCCTTCTCTCCGCGAGCAAGGAGTCGGTCTGACCTGGCCAGGGAGAAACTACTCGGCCGAAGTCAGTCGATGAGCGAGCGCGAGAGCGAGAAAGAGAGAGAAGGAGCGCGACGCGGGGGAGAGACTCGAAGAAAAAGAGACGAAAACGAGTGGGAAACAGGGTTAGTAAAGACACACACCGTTGCTCTCTCGGCCGGTAGCTCGTGCGTGGTGTGGGTTAGGCGGTCTGGGGGCGCAGTGGTGGGGGCGCGCCGTAGCGGGCGGCGCGCGCGGTGGTGGGAAAAACACGGTGCGAAAGAGGAAAACGGTGCGGCTATGGCGCAGGCCCGAGGCGAGTTCGTGCAAGTTCGCGTGCGCTCGGCCGATCGCTGGTTGCCGATTGGTGACGCCAGGTGTGCGCCGGGGTGGTCGGAGCGGGGAGCCAGCCGTTTGAAAGCCGCGTATACGGCGGCGGGCGACATGACCGACCCGGCCGCGGCGACGGTGGCGGTGGCGGCGGTGGCGGCGGCGGCGGCGGAGGCCTACGCGGGCGCCGCGAGAGAGACGCTGCTCTCAGTTGTGTCAAGCTAGGCGATCGAGTAGGACGCTCTTTAATCGTTCCCGCCTCCGAGTTACTCTCTCACGTACACACACACCGCCTCACACACACACATTCCCACACACACCTCTCTCTCTCTCTCTCCTTCTCTCTGTCTCTGTCTCTGTCTCTCTATCTCCGTCTCTCTGTCTCTCTCCCACCTCCCCCGGTTTCTCTGTCTCTCTGTGAAACAAACCACCACCACCACCACCACCACCACCGCCGCCCACCCCTCCCAGCCCGTTGAAAACGCGCGTCTGTCGTGGCAGGTCGGTCCGCGCGAGAGCCCCGTGGCGAAGAAACACAACCGTGCGAGGCTGCCTCTACGAAACTCAACCCTTCGCGAGCGCCGAGGTATAACGCGTAAGCACGTGCACACACACAGACAGACAGACAGACACAAGTACACGAGCTTCCAACTCCGCGCAACTTTTGTCTCTCGAACCGGCGTGCAATCGTCATGTCTGCCAGCGGATAAAGTTCAGTTCCACGCACACGCGTACACGCGTGTTTTTCTTTCCTCGGTACGGCGGACCGTCGTGTACCGTTCTGCGTCCGTCTCTCTCGTTAATCGGTGTGTCCACCTGGTCCTCTGCCGATCGCCGCCGATCACCTCCCGGTGTACCGTCGTCGTCACTCTTTCTCTCTCTCTCTCTCTCTCCCTCTCTCTCTCTCTCCGCTGTTTATACGTCCACCCGGGCGTCGTGTGGCTGGCCACGCGCGCGTTCCAGCCGACCGAGAAGAGAGACCTCGCGCCAGCGGACACCCGGCGATCCTCTTTGAACGGTGAGCACGCAGTGTGAAAACGGTCGGACACGTGAGTAAACGACGTACGCCGCCCCCGGTCGCGCGTGTGTGTGTGTGTGTGTGCACGAGGCAACACTGGCCAAAGTCGGTGTCGTCACCCCCTCCCCATCCGGCGTCGATACGCACGAGCTTCAGCAACGACGATCAACGTACGCACGCACGCACACGTACACGGAAAGAGAGAGAGAGAGAGAGAGGGAGGGAGAGAGAGAGAGAGAGAGAGAGAGAAAGGAAGCAAGCAAGCAAGCAAGCAAGCAAGCAAGAGAACAAACCAAACCAAACCAAGCCAAGCCAAGTCAAGTCAAGTCAAGCCAAGCCAAGTCAAGTCAGGTCGCCAGCTGTCAGCCAAGTGCGTGCTGGCACATGCATGCGTCGTCGGCTCTCTTTGATCACAGTCTCTCATTGCCCTCCCCCACTGTCCGACCGTGCGTGTGCTGCGTGCCCGTGTGCGTTGAACGCGAGCCCCCGAACGCGGATCAGCAACAGAGCGGCCGCTGAGGGAAAGAAGGGGAGCGAAAGAGAGCTTTGAAGGCTTCCTCCGTGTATATTTGCCTCCCGGTCGACGAGTGCACGAGTTTCAAGGTCGCTGGTACGCGATCCCCAAGTCGCCGGTCGTCGGTGTGCCGCCGTCGAACGAAGACAGAAGGCGGAAAGAGAGAAGGGAGGAGAAGGTGGCGGAGGAGAATCTGGAGCAGGAGGATCATTTAAAGCGGAGCGGTGAGAGAAGAGGAGGTCGGCGAAGCTTGGCGAGCGGTGGAGAGCAGTAGCGGCGGCAGCAGCAGCAGCAGCACGAAGGAAGAAAGAAGAGAGTCGCGAGGCCGTGACAGAGAAAGAGAGAGAGTTATATTTTTATTCGCCGCGGCGGGCCGCGATTCATCGGTGCCAGAGAAGAGCGCCGGCTAGTTGGTCGTTCGGACGTCGGACGTTGTTCGCGTGTCCGTAAGAGGAGAGACTACTACTATTAATTTTAGAGGAGAGAATTTCAAAGGAAAGAGAAAGAAAAAAACCAAAAAGAAAAAAAAGAGAGAATCGTACGTACGTAGCTAGATACCCAAGTGGGAAAAATCAAACTCCCACACGTTAGACCTAAAGAAAAAAAAAAAATAAAATAAAATAAAATAAAATAAATAAATAAAACGCGTAAACGTTGTAAGTAAGAATCCTAGGTTATTATTTAAAATAACGTAAGATGGTCGCGCGTGAATAATGAGCGGCCGACCGCACTAAAGAGAATCGCGTCAAGACAATCAAGCACAGTAGCGTGTATCTCCGGGCATCGCCGAGAGAAATTTCCACGAAACGACGTTTTCAAACCCGGGGGGAGGAGAAGCGGAGAGTGACGAACTTTCCCTCCAACCTCCCCTAGTCTAACCTAGGGTGAAAGGGAATAAACGAGAGTATTCGTGTCTTCATGTGATCTCCAAGCCTCTGTACCACTTCTGTACACGCTCTATACCGTACATATATTCTATAGATATTTATGTACATATACTTCTATATATATATATACACACACGATATATATATATATATATTTACACTTATATATACATACGTTTATATGTATACACCCCTCGCACATATCCGATCGTTGGGCCGAGCCAGCAGCTGATCCGCGGCGGAAGTAGAGCAAGGCCCGACCGTGTTTCTTCCCCGTCTGCCCCGGTTTCAACGGGGCGTTCTCTCGTCAATCTTCGTGACAATCATTTTTTCAGCTAGCTCTCTTAGCGTCAGTCGTTTGTAAGGAAAAGGAAGGAAGAGAGGACAGGAAAAAAGAGAAGAAAACAAAAAAAAAGAAAAAAAAAAAAAGAAAAATCGACGAACAATCACACGAATCCACGTATATGTACCTACGACGTTTCAATTAACGTGCGAGCGAGCCGTTCGAGAGCCCTCCCTTCTCCACCTCTCGAGCAACAGCAAACCCCCCTTTCACGCCCGTTGACGTTACACGCGCGTTGACGTTACGTCGCACGTGTTCTTACCTTCATCGGGCTCCTCCCAACCTCTTAACTCGCTCACACACCTTGACAATCATCGACCGAGTATTTCTAACGGAGCGGCAACCGCTCGTCTAGGCTAGGCTGCACCGTTGTATCTCACCTGTTCTACAAGCTGAGTCTTCTGAGTGTCTCTCTCTCTCTCTCTCTCTTTCTCTCTTTCTCTCTCTCTCTCTTTCTGTGTATGCGTGTATGCGCCGGATCGTGTATGTGTGTCTAGTACAGTAAGATACTAATCTGATCTACGCGCGTGTTAGCTCATAAGGTTGTTACCAGTTAGGCTCTCTCTGTCTCTCTCTCTTTTCGACGTCTCACGTCCGAACGTCGGTGGATAGCTCGATTTTGACACGCCGAACTCCAAAGAGTATCCCGTGAATATCCGGCCTCGCGGTTCGTTCGAGCCACGAGCTCGCAGCAGCGACACGCAGCCAAGGGGCGCTCCGCAGATACGTGTAACGACGCAATCGGCCAAACTGTGGTGGCCGTCGTGCGCGTTCACGCGAACGAGCAAGACGGAATCGCGGCATCATCAGCCGTCGTTGGAACGTAGCGGCTGGGTGGTTGGTGAGGAGCAGCAACGCGCCGCGGCCGGCAGGTTTCTCTGGAGGCTGCACTCGTTGGGCGGTCGAGGTCTGCTCGTGCCTACGGCGGCGGCAGGGAACGTCGGCAAGTGTTGGCTAGCGGAGACGATTGGCGCCGACGAGGCACGATCCTCCATCACCACGTATTTTCATTCGTACCCGTTTGTCCCGGGTGGTGCGGTGTCCCTGCCTCCGCCCCTGCTGAACAGCATCAACAACGCGGCGGCAGCAGCGATCACCCCCGGCCTGGTTGGACACCTCTTCGCCGGCCAGCAAGCCTGCAACGTTGGCTGCAGCTGCACCTGCACCAATCTCGCCAATTGCAATCCGCACCACCAGCAGCAGCAGCAGCAGCACCATCACCACCAGCAACAGCATCACCATCAGCAGCAGCAGCAGCAGCAGCAGCATCATCATCGGCCGATCGCCGCCACCACGGTCCTCCTGCAGCCGGTCGAGCACATCAAAGACACCATGGTGAGTGGATCCATTCCCTCTTTTTCTCAGCGAGGAAAGCTTCACGGAGACATTTCGTACGGCCAAACTGGGGATTTGGTATGATTCGAGTCGGTAGAATAAATTGTTGCATTCCGCGCAGAGGGATGACAGATTCGTAGTTTTCAGAAGAATTCGTATTCTTTTATCTGTCTCAATTTTACGTTTTTCTGTTTGTTACATTTTTATTTCATCCTCTTTGGCAAATCGAAGGAAGAGGAAACTACACTTGTGATCAAGTGTTTGGAGGGACTGTTAGCACCAAGCCAATATTATTAGGTTTGGTCATACAACAAAATTTTCATCTCGTCTTGAGGACTAGTAGGTCTTCAGTATACTTAGATGGATGAAATTTATCCCGAAATTTTCCTCTACATTTGTCTGCAAACGTGTTGAGGAAATTGTGAAACGAAGGGTTTACGCGATAAGACAGTAACTTGCGATTTCTTTAACTATCTTTCTCTGGACATTGGAAACATATGCGGCCGATCTCGACGCGAGGAAAGTTGGAAGTTTCCATCAACGGGCCGGTCCCACGACGCCTTCCGGTCCTCCAGCAAGTCTGGACGAAAGTCTCTCGTTAATATCGCTATCCGTCGCGTAAATTAACCACCGATCCCAGCCGCCTCGAGCCACTAAGTAGCTTTTACGACGCGAATTGTCCCCCGACGCTCGCCAAACCGGGCTCCAACGCCTATTCCTATTCCACGATTGCCCGTGTTCGGCTAATAAGCCGGGGCCGATATGCGCAACTTCCACTGCACCACGTTCGTGCACTCGATCGATTCCTGTTTCCCAGTTAACCGTGCGCGATGATGCAGGTTCAGCTGGCTCTTAGGTCACCGTACGAGCTCTGGTCCATGATGCTCAAACGCCTCGTTCGATGCCCAAAATTCGTCGAATTTTCCTGGCTTTCGTCGCTCAGATATTTTCGAACGTTCTTTTATTCCTCTTGGCAGGTGTGTGTCGTAAAAAGTGTCTCGTGATCTCCGAGTTCGACAGAAATTCCTAATACGACACGTTTGGGTTTCGAGGACATCCGTGTCACGTACCGAGTATGCCACTTACGCCCGGTCTTAACAAACTTCCTCGTGAGAAGTCTCGTTCGCGTAGGTGATGCACGAGACTCGATGCAACTGTGGAGCAGGCGAAGAAGGGAAATCGTGTTCCGCCGCGAGCTGCCCGCGAGGATTTTTTTTCCCGCGAGCATCGCGCGAGGAGCTTGCGTCACGCTCGAGGAGCTAGGGGGAACGGTCGTTGCCTCTCTCGACGGCGAGATTTACGCGCGATCTCGTCGACGATGCCCGATGTGAATCGCGTTTACGGATTTATACGTGGCGCGTGCCTTCGCTGCTACGTGCTCCTTCATTTCCGCCGGTTTTCAAACTCAAATCTCGTCGTCCGTCCGACGCGTACAAATTTCGTCGCCGCTTCGTCGTATTCGAAACGAGTGTTGCGCGAATCGTTTGCAGCTGAAAATCGGTGGATTTTACGTCGGCGTCTACTCTAAAGAACGTTTCTGGAAATGACTTCACCTAATTATAAGAAATTACCAAGGTTTGGCTTAGGTTTGGGTTAGGTTTCTGGCGGCTGAAACGAATTTCCGCCTTGGTTTAATTTCTTTTTCACACATTTAGGTTTATGACAGTAGCAGGTTCTAGTGAATCGACACGTATTTTTAGGGAAAATAATGAAACTTATTTCAAAAGCAACTTAATTGCACGCGATTGACTTGTAAATTTAAATAAAGTTACGTGATGTTATGTGATTATTTATTAACATACATAGCGAATGAGACAATGTGTCAGGGGTAGGTTATTGCCATAGGTTAAATGAATTTTATTTTGTTTGAATTATTGTCACTGGATGGCAATTATGTTTATCAAATCTGAAAAAAAAGAGAACATTATTTATGGGTACTTCTGTTGCATCGATCATGTATCAGAGTCGAAACAATAAAAATGTATTACAATCTCTACTTTTACGTTGCTTTTATATTTATTGCTAGAGTGGTTTCGCGAATGAAACAAGCTTATGGGATTGTTTGTAGAACCAGCCGGTCAATTTGACAGGTGTCCGCAGAGATTGGAACTTCATACTTTTACTCCACTTCTGACTCAAACTGTAAAATATACATACATGTATATTTGTCATAATTATTCTATCAACAGTCAGGCAAAGACTATAAAAAAAAAAAAAAAACCGTGAAATTCGTCAAACAGACGTAAACCGCGTTTGCACAAACATCCTCCAATCCAACTGTCCAACGTTCAGCAATTTTTCCGGCTGAGAAAAAATACCCGAAAGAAAAAAATATTAATTCTCACGAAGATACGCGCCAAGTAATTATCTGTTTTTCCAAAAAANACGTGTTTAACGAATTTATTTTACTGGAGGTCACCGGCGTTTCTTTGATTTTCACTCATCTTTTCAAAAAAAAAAAAAAAAAAAAAAGAAAATCTCCCTCAGTGATTTCTGCGCAACGAAAACACGCAAAACTCTCCCCTTACTTACAAGCAATTTCAAGCGAGCGACGTAGGCGCGATCGAGCGGAAAGCCCGAGTTTGCCGAGGATCCTCGATCAGCATCCTCTCGACACCTGTCGATCGTTGCGGGATTAAAGAGGATGCTGCGCGTCTTGGTTCGGGCAAACCTCGACAAACAGAGGGAGATGGAGGAGTGAAAAACAGAATGGGGGGATGATGGGCGTTGGTTGGAGGTGATAGGGCAAGGTCGGGGGTTCCCTTGGCGCGAGACTCGCCCCTGTTTACACGGCAAACGCGCCGGGTGATTCATCGTCGTGGCTAAATCTGTTCCTGATTCAGTGGCTGCGATGCCCCTGCTCGTTATACCGGGGAACCTTGTTAGCCGAAGCTTTGTCTCGGCCCGCTTTCTTCGTCCGCGATGCCAAACGCCGCGCATCCCTCTTTCGGAAAAGATTCCACCTTTTCCAGGGAATTTCCACTTTTTTTGGGGGGGGAGGGGGGAATTTGGTGGCTGGAGAAGTGTCAGTTGAGAGTTCTTGGATTTTTCTTTGAGCGTTCTTCATCCTCGAATTTTTCTTTCGAACGAAATTAACGTTCATCCGTTGCTACGATTATCCTCGAATTTTTGACGAAGTTAGTTATTCTATTATCTGTCAATTGCCAGTGAATTCTTCTGCCCCAAATAGTAACATTTTAGTATATTTAAATATATCGGTTATATTTATTTGTATTGTATTTATTTAAATATATAAACTATATTTAAATATATTAGTTTAATATGTTAATATTTTATATATTAATATATTTATATATTTATATATTAATATATAATATTTTAATATTTTAATATATTAGTTTATTTAAGTATGTTAGTTATATTTATTTAAATATAGTTTGTTGCAACATTTTAGTATATATTTAAATATACCAGTTATATTTATTTAAATATGGTTTATTCCAACATTTTAGTATATTTAAATATCTAAACTATACTTAAATGTACCAGTTATATTTATTTAAATACAGTTTATTGCAATATTTTAGTATATTTAAATATTTAAACTATACTTAAATGTACCAGTTATATTTATTTAAACACAGTTTATTGCAACATTTTAGTATATTTAAATATACCATTTATATTTATTTAAATATAAACTATATTACACCATTATAAACTATATTTAAACTATATTTACCAGTTATATTTATTTAAATATAGTTTACTGCAACATTTTAGTATATTTAAATATATAAATATTAAATATATAAATTATATTTAAATATACCAGTTATATTTATTTAAATATGCAAACTATATTTAAATGTACCAGTTATGTTTATTTAAATATAGTTTATTATATATATTTATTTGTTGCTTCTCAATTATCAGAAAAAGAAAAAGATATTTGTCATAATTTTTCGTTGATTTCGTATCTTAGTAATGATATGATCGAGTTCTTGGATTTTTATTATTGTCTTAGAGTGATGCTGCGTTAATCCTGGAATTTTTTTCGACAAAATTAATGTCCGTCCATCAGTTTAATTGTCACAGAACGAAAGAGAAACAGACGTCTACTGTAATTTTTATTCGTTTCGTATCTTAGTAGTAGAATTTCTGTTTTTTTTTTTGGAGTGTGTTAGTGTATTGATCCTCGAATTTTTCTCTCGACGAAATTAATGTCCACCGGTCGCTCGAATTATCCGTGAATTTTTAACAAGGTTTATGTTTCGTCTGTCGCTTCAATTATCGGCAAAAAAGGAAAAGGGACGAGCATCTGTTGTAATTTTCATCGGTTTCCAATTTCAGAACGATATACAGGTTTCACAAATTTATATTTAATTCAACGACTCACTGTCAGACCAGACCGGTTGTGGTGCATTCATGGAAATTTAGAAGGAGGTAAAAATGATGATCCATTTTCGTCGTCGAAATCAACTAAACGACAGCGTCAAAACGAAAGGAGAAAAAAAGGAAAAGAAAAAAAAAAAAAAAGGAAATGGACAAAATGGTTTATTCCTTTGCGTATAATATGCCCGGCGCTATCTCCAATTCGTCTATCAAATTTCGCTGTATCGGTTACACGCACGCGTGCAAGCCATTTGTCATTTCTTCCACGCTGGTTCCTATATAGTCGAGGCCAGCGACGAGTAATGGTCTAATAGCTTACTTTCATTTCGAAACGACGTTCCCCTTGCACGTTTGCTCGCCCGTCACTTTCTGCAACGCCATTGTCCGCGGTTCGTTCATTCTCTAATGAAAAATCACCGAGTCGTGCAAAGGCACAACTTTAAAACGCAATGGGCAAGAAGAATTTTTCCCCAAATTGAAAAGGAGAAAAAAAAAAAAAAAAGACAGAGAAAAATTCCAGGTTAGAAGGCGAGCTAATCTCCCTTTGTTTCCCCGAGGGCTACGTCTCAGGGCAGAATCGTCGAGAGATTTTCCATTACGTTATTGTCGTCGTGAGAGGCCCATCCCGTTGAATATTCAGACGT